AACCATAACCTTATCATTTCCTTACTTCAAATCTTTCATTGACTACTTGTGGCTTTCAGGAAGATGTTTATACCGCCTAAATTTAGCACATAAGGCCTCTCATAATCTAGTCCCCACCAACCTAACTAGCATCATTTCTTGTTATACAGTGGAACCGCACTCAGAAATCAACTGTACTAAAATCGTCTGCATTTTACTTAATAGATGATTTTTTTGTGCCTCTATATCTTCATTTTTTTTCTACCTATAACACTTAATCCTAATAACTGTGAAAATACCCATAATCTTCATAATTGCCATCTCCTCCATTGCTGAAATCCAGCCTAACATTTAGAAAGTATATTTTACCCAGTTCAGATAAACTCCACCCATAAAATAGAAATACTATAACTTACTTTGCACACTGTTTGAAAAATAAAATGAGAAAAAGTATATTTAATAGAGTAGTTGGCACAGAATGGAAGCTAAATAATTAGCAGCCTTTACTGTGTAATACACTGAATTAATCATCTGTCTTTTCCAGACGAGGCTTTCTCAGCCTCAACATTACTGACATTTTGGGCCAGATAATTCTATGTTGCAGGGGGCTGCCCTGTGCATTGTAGAATGTTTAGCGGTAATCCACTAGATATCAGTGGCACCTCTCCAGGTGTAATAACCAAAAATGTCTCCGAACATGACTAAATGTGCCCTAAGGGGCAAAATCATCCCTGGTAGATAATCACTGCACTAAACCATAAGCAACTTAGGGGCAGAAACCAATTATTACTCATTATTGTATCTCCAGCTATCTAGTACCAAAGCCAGCAATACTAGGTATTTAATAAAAGAACCACAATCCTGTCTTCTAGCACCATAGATTCATTTTCCCTGTTTTTGAAATGTATGTAAATGTATTTGATATTGCTGCATGTTGCAGTAGTTTATTCATTCATTTCTACTTCTGTATATTTCTTTTTTAATATACTCTACTTTCTTAGATGTTCTATTGTTTGGACATTTGGGTTGTTTCCAATTTGTAGCTGTGTGACTACTGTTGTCATGAATAATCTTTATATGTGTTTTGGTTACAAGTCAGGACAGCAGTTTTGTTGGAGGATGAGGGTGGGGTGTGATTGGGAAGGGATACAATGACTGTTCTTGGGGGTGCTGCTAACATTCCTTCTTGACCCGAGTGGTGGTTACATACGTGTGTCCACTTTGTGCTGGCTCATTGAAAACATTTATGATCTGTGAACACAGAATTCTGTGTGATACTTCATGTAAAGTTTTTCTTTTATATTAACTAAGAACAAGACAGTTGTGCAAATAGAGAAGAAAAAGGGCCAGGGATTCTGGTAAATATCCTACAATGCCAATATTCACGTGAAAAATAAAAGTAACTTCATTTGTATCAAAGAAAAGCGTATTAAAACAAAAAAATGCATTTTTATACTATTTGTCAATAATACCCAGTGTTGATAAAATGAAAGGGAAAATGTCTGCTGTTAGTGAAGATGTGAATGGGTACAACTTTCCTAAAAGGCAGTTAGGCAATATATGTCAAAAGTCTCTAAAATATGTATTATGGTTTTATGGCAATTATCTTTCAATAAAGCTAGAAAAAAGGTGTTATGTTTAAAAGTTTATCTTATGAAAGCAAATTAGACAAATGTGTAAAAGATAAAAAAGAATCTATATATGTAAGGACAGTCTTCACATAACTGCTTATAATGGTGAAAAACTAAAAGCAAAATTTCAATAGGTAATTAGCTAAATACACTATGGTATATCCATTCGGTAGGATGCATGCAGTCATATTCAATGACATGAAAAAAATTTTCATAATTCATTAAGTTGAAACAAGTTACAAAACAAAGCAGTGACACATTTGAAAGGAAAGACATAAATATGCATAGAAACAAAATGTTGAGGATAGAAGCCAAAATGTACTTTCTAAGCTTTCTAAGAGGAATATGTATAACAGTTTTCAAAATTAAGCTTTTTTGTGTAAATGAGTTTACCAAAGAATGAGAAAAAGAAAATATGCGAGAACTATCATTCAACAGTATCAGAGACAACGGCAGCTCTCAGTGTCCATTAGTGTATATGTATGTGTGTATATATATATATTTTTCATAGTATGCCTCAAATGAATTGATTATTGAATTGGTTCTTATAAGCATGTTTGAATTTTGTAAGCTCTATGCTTTATGGACCAAGAAGCCAATCTTAGCCAACATTTTATAAAGCAAGTCTTCCTTTGGACAAAAGGTATTGCTTTACTATTAGAATCTTACTTTAGTGATTAGGAAACAGATGAGCAAGTTTCACATATAAGATTTTTTAAAGCTACTATTGTTTTAAATATAATTTTCTTCTCTGCTGTCAAGCAATAATCTCTTAAATAGTGAATATAATTTCAAATTCTGTCTGTAACAGTTTTTCCAATTTAAACGTCTCATCCCCTGAATAGAATACAAATAACAATGCAGTATATGCAAAGTATCTATGAAAAACAGCACATAATTAGTATGAAAGAACTATGGTCATCCAAAATCATATACTGAAAATTAAGAAATAATTTTCCACTTTCACTTTGCTTCACAGGATTTTTGTTAATAAGCACTTCCTGACTGTACCAGATAAGTAATGATTTCTTCTAGGTCAGTAAATTGCAACATTGATTGCATTCACTTACAATAAGAATAACCATAGCAAACCTATTCTCACATGCAGATTCTCTTTCCAAGGCTGATTTACAGTCACTGCTCTCCTCTCCACTTCTGAGAAAAGGGATCAACTAAACCAAAATGTGCATGTTAACCCCTGCCTATGAGTATCTCTATAACGAAGGCCCTGTTGATACACTATGAGGTATTGCTGAGTGACCATCCATACCAGTTTGCCCAGGACAGTCCTGGTTTACATCCAATGTCCCTGCATAGTTATTAATAGCAGCCCCTTTCACTCCCCAATGTCCCAGGTTGAGTAACATATTATATGGTCACGCTATCGTCCATATACAGTATGTACGCTAGGCATAGAACTTGGAATAAGTGCCTGGAGCTATCTACACTCTTGCCTCATCTTCCTTGTGCACTGACAGTCTGGAATGAAAAACGCACAGAACATTCATAGATTCAAATCCTCCCCATAGGTGGTCTAAAGCAATCTGAACAGGAATCTGTTTCAAAATGGACCCATCCTCCTATGGAAGTCCAAAAACTATGAGAGACAAATTACTAGGTAGCCCAAATCATAAACCTTAAGTTACATATTTGCAAAAATTGCCCAGTCTATCGATATTTGTTGTGAGTTGTGTCACTTACGTCATTAATCCAAACAATTCCATCAAATGGAAGTAAATCCAAACTTCCTCTAAGCCTATATATTTCTCTCTGTACTAATGGCAAAACTATTCACCCAGTCACCTCAGCTAGAAACCTTAGGATCAAATTTGCTTCTCTCTCTTCATTCAGTGAAATTAGTTATTAAGTCCCATTGATTCTATTTTAAAAGTCTCTGGAAGTCATTACCCACAAACTTTTCATCAGAATATGATTTCTAATCTGCGATTGTTACAGTAGCCTTCCCCTACTCTCTATCCTTCTCCAACTCACTTCGCTCACTTCTGCTAGAATCATCTTAAATAAAGCAATCTCTTTAGTCCACTGCCTGCTCAAAACCCTCAGATAATATCCAGACGTCTTAGCATGGCACTTAAGATCTTTTTCAATTGCACTCAGCCCTCCCCTCTCCATCCTCAATTCCAACCACAATTCCCACTAACCACATACTATTCAATGGTTTTCATCCAGGGATGGTACCGCTCCCACAGGAGGTGTTTGGAAATGTTTGGGGACATTTTTGCTTGTCACAGAGATTCGAGGATGCAAAGGACATTTAATGGGCAGGGACTAAGGACACTAAATGTCCAGCAATGTAGGATAAGTTGCCTTGCCAAAATGTCAGTAGCACCCTAGATGAGACGACTTGTTCCCCAAACACATTATTTTTACACATATGTGGTTCCTTCTTTCTAGAATCTACTTCACCTCTCTCTATTAGTTCTCCCTCCTTCCAAAATAATATTGTCCTTGGATGATACAATTCAAACTCTCCTTATCTAAAGACCTCAGCTGATTTAATAGTCATGTACACAGTGTGTTAAAGGGAGATAATTAAATCACTCTCATATCACACTGGTTGCCTGCTGATATAGCACTTAGTGTATTGAATTATGATTCAACTTCTTACCCGTTTGTCATTTCACTCCATGTTCCCTTTTTCCTTATCATCCCCTCTATCCCCTAAAATTTGAGCCCCTTAAAGACAGGGATATTCCTTTGCATCTCATTCATTTTTTTAAACTCCAACTTCTAATGTTTACCTCGAAACTGAGAATCATGCTACAAGTGATTTTTGGATTAAAAGATGAAAAATCATACCTGCACTCCTATGTACAGAATGCCATTCCTTAAAAACCTTTTTTGTAGTTGTTAAACCTAGAACTCAGAATACTTTGATGTAAAACTAAATATTTTAGTTACATCTTTTATCAGTAATGGTGCTTTACAGAACTCTAAAATGTACACATTACACTGCAAATTAGACTAAATCAGGTATTACAAACTCATGTAAAAGAGGAAAAAGAAGCAACAGATACTGTGGCAACCTGGAGAAAGTGTTCCTCAGTACAAAGGTATTTAAATTCCTTTTTTGTTTTTCTGAATGCTAAGTATACCTTAAAAAGATCTGCCTAATAAGCTTGTGTTTGAGATGTTTGTTATGAAAAAATACCTAGGTAATCTTAAAAAAAAAAAAGTGTGTGTGCAATATACTTCTGTACAAAAGATAAAGTAAAAGTATCCTATCCCCCCCCACTAATTTTTAAGTTTAAGCTTAGACTATTTCTGTAACATAGTAAAAATATACCTTTTTTCAGTCAAAATTTTCAACTTAATTCCCCCTAAGTTGCATAAACAGTAAGAGAGGACAGACGAAAGGCAACTGCTCACTTGCACATCTGTTCATATCTGGGGCTCGGTGTCCATAGTACCCTGATGGGCAGGAATGCAGGCACTCTCCATACTGGCGCATGCCTTCTCTTCGAAGAAAGAAGAACAACTTCTGTTGACATCGGCTGCACCCATTGTCCTTTGAACAAGACAAGCAACCCTTGCAAATGGGATTTGATACATAACTAGCTGTAAGAGAAACAAAAAAACATGTTTAAATATGAATATGATCAGACTTCTGGTCAATACAACATGCCAAGAAGACAAGTGTCTCCTGTTCTTTTAATTACATAAAAATGCTAAACAAAATATCCTTCGCCACCCCCACCCCCACAAACAATGGTTAATATACAACCAAGCTTAGAAACAAAGAAGAAACGCAGAGGCAGAGTTGAGGTCGGAAGCTCAAACTGAATGGCTTATGGAGATTTTAGACCAGACAGAGGCAGATTTCATGGCAAGGTCCTGAATCCAGACCAAGAAATATGCATGTACAAGAGCCGACCCTTTGCTCTCTTTATGTGGACTAGAGTCATGAGGGCTGTTTGTCTATAGAACAAGTACCAGAAGCCCCCATTCCAACTGGCCAGAGGATTCCAACGCTAGATTAGGCACATAGAGGGGGTGAGCACAGGAGAGAGAAAACATAACCCATGGGAAATAAGAACCCTAAGTGTGCAGAACATCCAAGTTTGGGATCCAAGTTCAAATTATCAATGAGGTATGGAATCCCTAAGTCAAGAAGTTAACATAGAAACCTGTCCAGATCCAGGAAAAACACAAAGAAAAAATATTAAACTACCCTATAGAAATTTTCTACAATCCTGAGACCTGGGACTTTCATGGAAAACCACTTGAACATCAAAATGAACAGATCATGTGTACAAGCAAACCTCCATGAGGAAGAGTCATCAGTCTCAGCGAGAGAGAAATGTCACAAATAAAGAATCAGAAATAACAGAACAATCTGAAAGAGACTTTAAAATGAGTATCTTTAGAGTTTTTGAAGGAATAAAATAAAGACTAGAAATCACATAGGAAGAAGCAATATCATATAAAGAACGTGCAAAATAGAAAGAAATGAAAATTCTACAACTGAAAAACATCCTATGGACAAGTAGAATGGTAGACTAGAAGAGAGGGATTTAACTGGAAAACAAGTTTAAAGAACTGTAGCATAAAACAAGATCAAGATGAAAATGTAAAAAAGCAGCATGTAATAAAAAAAAGAAAATGTTCCAATACATGATTATTAGGTATTACAGAATCAAAGAACACAGAAAATGAATAAGATGTAATATTCAAAGAGATCATGGCTAATTAGTTTTCAGAATTCAAGACATGAGTTCTGAGACGAAAAATTCAGAGATCTGAGCAGATCAGTAAAAATGAGTCTGCATCTGAACACAGCATATTTATACTAAAGAACGAAGTCAAACCAGAGATAAACAGCCAATTACCTGCAAAGGAATAAAAATTTGACTCCCAGCAGGCTTAAGTATTAGATACTGGAATATTATCTTCAACATGTTGAGGAAAAATTATCAAACTATAACTCCATAAGAAATCAAATGAGAGTATAACAATAAGAGCAAAATAAAGATATTTTCAACCAAAATAAAGGCAAGGCTGACCCAGCCCTGATGGCCTAGCGGTTAAAGTTTGGCACACTCAACTTAGCAGCCTGCGATCAGTCCCCGGGGGGCAGAACCACACTACTCATCTGGCAGTAGCCATGCTGTGGTGGCAGCTCACATAGAAGAACTAGAAAGACTTACAATTAGAATATACAACTATGGAACTGGGGCTTTAGAGAGGAAAAAAAGAGAGAGAGGAAGATTGGCAACAGATGTTAGCTCAGAGTGAATCTTTCCCAGCAAAAAAAAAACCAAAAAACAAAATAAAGGCAAGGAATTTATCAAAAACACTCACTAAAAGAACTGTATATATTGGAGAAAATGAAATGGAACCCAAAAGGAAGTAGAATATAATAAGCAATAGTGATCAAACCAATTGAGAAATATGTTGGTATATTCATTAAAATATTGATTTAAAAAAATAATAATTTTGAGGGTTTAAAACATATTTTATATTCAACAGCAATAACTTGAAAGACTTAAGAAAGGAAGCCAAAGTTAAAGATTCAAAGTTTCTGTATTATGAGTGAGGAAGACCAATATAAATTAAAACTGTGTTAAGTTAAATGTATTTGCTAAAATCCTAGGTGGCAACTACAAAAATAGTAATATATAACTTCTAAACCAGTGACAGCTAAAAACAGATGTAATAAATGTATAAAATATGGGCAGGAAGTAACAATCCAAATGTCCGTGAACAAGAGAATTGACAAATTTTGGTGTATTCATACTACAAATTTAAAAAAAAATGGATTAAACTACCAATATAGACACAAACATGAAGGAAACTCATACATTATGCTGAGCAAAAGAAGCCAAAACAGAAAAAAAAAAAAAAAAAAGAGTATGTTCTGTATAATTCTATTTATATGGACAGCAAGGACATGTAAAGCTCATCTACGGTGATAGAAATTAGAATACTAAATGCCTTTGAGAGTTAGGACTGACTAGAAAGAGGCACAATGGAATTTTTGGCAAGTATATCAGTTTCCTAGTGCCAACGTAACAAATTACCACAACGTGGTGGCTTAAATAACAGGAATTTATTCTCAGTTCTATAGACTAGAAGTCTGAAATCAAGATGTCAGCAGGGCCATGCTTCCTCTGAAGGTCCTAGGGAAGAATCCTTCCTTGCCTCTTCTGGTGGCCCCAGGCATCCCTTGGCTTGTTGGTAGTATAACTCCAATCTCTGCCTCCATCTTTACGTGGTCTTCTTCTCCAGGTGTCACTGTGTGTCCTTTTCTGTCTCTTATAAAGCCACTCTCATTGGATTTAGGGCCCACCTTAATCCAGTATGAGCTCAGATCCATCCTTACCTTAATTATATTTGCAGAGTGCCTGTTTTCAAATAAGGTCACATTCTGGTGTTCCAGGTAGACATGAACCTGGAGGGGGAGGACATTCTTTAACCCACTACAGGATGTGATGGAAATGTTCTAATCTTGATTTTATATTGGTTATACAAATGTATATATTTGTAAAACTCAAACTGTGCATTTAAGACCTGTGCATTTTTTAAGTAATGTCCATAATTTACAAGTAAATCACATCTCAATTTTTTTAAAGAAGAAAAAATAGATAGGAAGGCCATACACTAACTTTAGGATAATGTAGTTACTTATAATGACACCTCTTTTAAAGATTCTATAAATTATACTGAATGCTCACCTATAAGATATTCTTTGCTCTTATGAGTTTTCTTTTTTTAAAACAACAGAAATATCCAATTGCAGGGACAAAGTAGGGTAGTACTAAGTAAATGTTGAAATAGCATCTGAAAATTAATCCATCAACCTTATGAAATTCACTACCTCTAGTGATAAAAAGAGTAATTAAAAGAAAATAAGCAAAATATTATTTCTAGCCCTGGTATCAAATTTAGAAATGATGCAATCTGAAATCTCAGTATACATCCTAAAATATGAAAAACGCTTGTAACTTTTAGTTATCATCATCCCAAGCAAAGTCATAAATATAACAAGATATATAAGGTCACGTTGACTTCATTTTATTGGGTTAACCCACAAAAGAAAGAATAGAAAACTCATCAATTATTGAAACTTTTATAGCTTTGAGACTACATCCTGTTTGTCCTATATATTATCTTTATTTCATATAAAACTAATATCAAGCAATAGGTATTCGACTAGCAGCTCTACAACAGAGTACACTGTACACCACACCCTTCCTTTATTTATAATGATTCAATGTCTAATATATTTATAGCTACTTGCAGCAGATCTATATAGGTTTTAGTTCCACAAGATACTCGCCCTGCTTCTCCTAGGCTCCCATGGCCCTGATTTGCTCTTACAGCCTCTCTTCCAGAGAGGTCCCCAAACAAGTGCTTAGTCTACCTTTCAGAGCAAGAGCCAGAGAAAAACAAAGGCACTCAGGACCAGGAATTAGGGCCAAGAGAGCTCTTTGAATTGGCCATTAAGATCCACTCCTTCCCACTTATTCCAGGCCTTTGTTCTATCAACTGTTTTTATCCACATATTGAATCTATTTCATGGACATTCCCTTGCTTGCAAACCTATCCATGCTTCCCAAGTAATTTCTCATTCACCACCTTATTTTCTTAAATCTGCAATTATGGAGGAAACAACAATTCAGACAAAAAATCACCTCCTTAGATATCATTCCTAATAAAATTTTGGTGAACAACTTTCCAGATATCCCTTTATATATATATATGCATATATGTGAATGAAATATATAATTTGTATTTTTCATAACTGCAATCTTACTTTACATGTGGTATCATAACTTGTTTTAGTCGACTTGTAAGCATCTTTTCAGGGCAATGAACCAAACCAACATCACTCTCATATTTCTTGGAAGTTTCAGTTTTACCCGCTGCCTTTACTTACCACTACCACTCATTCAATTATCCCCAACACTACTTTTATGCAGACCACAACCAGTTTTGTTTGTTTTTTTTGGTGAGAAAGATTAGCCCTGAGCTAATATCCGTTGCCAATCCTCCTCTTCTTGCTGAGGAAGATTGGCCCTGGGCTAACATCCATGCCCATCTTCCTCTACTTTATATGCGGGACACCGCCACAACATGGCTTGATGAGCAGTGAATAGGTCTGTGCCCGGGATCTGAACCTGCGAACCTTGGGCCACCAAAGTGGAGCATGGGAAGTTAACCACTACACCACCAGGCTGGCCCCACAACCAGTTTTTAATACTCAATTCAAGACCTCATTCTCAGTTTCTGGTCCTTATAACTCCTGTAGCCTGGTCATTGGTGAAAGTTTTCTTCCTCCTCTAGCTTCCATGATAATGTCTCCTCCTACAGACTTAATTCTCATCCTCATTCTTGTGATTTCCATTAATCTTCTCATAACTCAAGCTGTTATGACTTCACACTTAGACAGTTATGGTGTTCCCAACCCCACGTCCACCTCTCTCTATTTACTTTCTATTGTTGGGTCAATTTTCCTGCTTTTATACTCATCATAGGATTTCTGTCATACCTTACTTTGACAAGATAATTATGATTTATAAAGCATTTTCACATAGCTGACTGAAAATAAGCCTATA